CAACTTTAAGTAGACTGTTATATGTGCAGGCTATCATATCTGAGCTTCATGGTAACCACAAAGCAAAAACCTATAGTAGATGCACAAGAGATAATGAGAAAGGGATCTAAGCATACTACAGAAACCTACAAAAACATAAGGGAAGAAAGTAAGAAAAGAAGAAAGGAAAGAGAACCACAAAACAACTAAAAATGGCAATAAGTACATGTCTATCAATAATTAGTTTAAATGTAAGTGGACTAAACTCTCAAATCAAAAAACATAGAGTGGCTGAATGGATTTAAGAAACAAGACCCATCTACATGTTGCCTACAAAAGAGCCACTTCAGATATAAGGATACATACACACTGAAAGTGAATGGATGGAAAACATGTTTCATGCAAATGGAAACCAAAAGAAAGCTAAAGTAGTTATACTTAGCTGACAAAATAGACTTAAAGCAAAGACTGTAATAAGAGACAAAGATGGGCATTACATAATTATAAAGAAGTCAATCCAATAAGAAGGTATGATATTTGTAAATATTTATATGCCCAACATAGGAGCATCTAAATATATAAAGCAAACATTCATAGATCTAAAGGGAGAAATTTACAGCAATATAATAATAGTAGGGAACTTTAATACCTCACTTATATCAATGGATAGATCATCCCAACAGAAAATCAATAAGGAAACAGAGGCCTTAAATGACACATTAGACCAGATGGACTTAACTAGATATATACAGAACGTTCCAACCAAAAGCAGCAGAATACACATTCTTCTCAAGTGCACATGGAACATTCTCCAGATAGATCATATGCTAGACCACAAGTCTCAATAAATTTAAGAAGGTTGAAATTATATTAAGCATCTTTTCTGACACTGGTATGAAACTAGAAACCAATTACAAAAAGAAAACTGAAAATTTTACAAATACGTGGAGACTAAACAAGATACTACTGAACAACCAAATGGATCAACAAAGAAATCAAAGAAAAAAATAAAAAATACATAGAAACAAATGACTATGGAACTACAACACATCAAAATCTATTGAATATAACAAAAGCAGTTCTAAAAGGGAAGTTTATAGCAATAGGCCTACCTTAAGAAACAAGAAAAATCTCAAGTAAACTAACTACACCAAAAGGAACTAGAAAAAGAAAAACAAACCTCAAAATTAATTGAAGGAAATAATAAAGATGAATAAAGACTAAAGAGATAACAGAAAAGATCAACGAAACCAAAAGCTAGTTATTTGAAAAAAATAAATAAAATTGACAAACTTTTAGACTCACTGAGAAAAAAGAGAGGCCTCAACAAAATTAGTATAGAATGGAACATACCTCAACATAATAAAGGCCCTATTTAACAAGTGCACAGCTAACATTATCCTCAATGGTGAAAAGCTGAAAGCTTTCTCCTTAAGATCAGGAATGAGAGAAGCTGAACAGACACTTCTCCAAAGAAGAAATTCAGATGGCCAACAGGCACATGAAAAAATGCTCCACATTGCTAATCATCAGAGAAATGCAAATTAAAACCACAAGGAGATATCATCTTACACCAGTTAGGATGGCCAATATCCAAAAGACAAGCAACAACAAATGTTGGTGAGGATGTGGAGAAAGGGGAACCCCTCCTACACTGCTGGTGGGAATGTAAATTAGTTCAACCACTGTGGAAAGCAGTATGGAGGTTCCTCAAAAAGCTCAAAATAGAAATACCATTTGACCCAGGAATTCCACTCCTAGGAATTTACCCTAATAATGCAGGAGCCCAGTTTGAAAAAGACATATGCACCCCTATGTTTATTGCAGCACTATTTACAATAGCCAAGACATGGAAGCAACCTAAGTGTCCATCAGTAGATGAATGGATAAAGATGTGGTACATATACACAATGGAATATCATTCAGCCACAAGAAGAAAACAAATCCTACCATTTGCAACAACATGGATGGAGCCAGAGGGTATTATGCTCAGTAAAATAAGCAAGACAGAGAAAGACAAGTACCAAATGATTTCACTCATATGTGGAGTATAAGAACAAAGAAAAACTGAAGGAACAAAACAGCAGCAGACTCACAGAACCCAAGAATGGACTAACAGTTACCAAAGGGAAAGGGACTGGGGAGGATAGGTGGGAAGGAAGGGATAAGGGGGAAAAGGGGCACTATGATTAGCAAACATAATGTAGCGGTGGGGGACACGGGAAGGGCATTATATACAGAGAAGACAAGTAATGATTCTATAGCATCTTACTATGCTGATGGACAGTGACTGTAATGGGGTATGTGGGGGGGGACTTGATAATAGGGGGAGTCTAGTTACCATAATGTTGTTCAAGTAATTGTACATTAACAATATAAAAAAAAAGATTAGGAATGAGACAAGAATTCCCACTCTTGCCACTTTTATTCAACACAGTATTGGAATTCCTAGCCAGGGAAATTAGGCAGGAAAAAGAAATAAAAACCATCAAAACTAGAAAGGAAGAAGTAAAACTTTACGATTCACAGATGACACGATTTTACATATAGAAAACCTAAAGACTCCACCAAAAAACTATTAGAACTAATAAATGAATTGGGTTGTAGTATACAAGTCATTTTGTATGTATACAGTGATTTTTTATATACTATATAAAAATTGGTTGTATTCTCATACACTAACAACAAACTATCAGAAGAGATATTAAGAAAACAATCCCATTTAAAATTGAATCAAAAAGAATAAAATACCTAGGTATAGATTTAAGCAAGGAGATGAAAGATCTATACACTAAAAACTATAAATAGACATTGATGAAAGAAATTAAAGATAACTCAAATAAATGGAAAGATAGTCCATGCTCATGCATTTGAAGAGTTAATATTGTAAAAATGTCCATATTATCTGAAGCAATCTAAAGATTCAGTGCAATCCCTATCAAAATTCTAATGGCACTTTTCACAGGAATAGAACATACAATCCTAAAATTTGTATGGAACCACAAATGATTTCAAATAGACAAAGCAATCTGGATAAAAAAGAACAAAGCTGAGAGTATTATATCCTCTGATTTCAAACTATATTATGAGATGATAATAATCAAAACAATATGGTATTAGCATAAAATCAGACACATAGATCAATAGAACAGAATAGAGAGCCCAGAAATAAACCCAAGAATATATGGTCAATGAATTTACAAGAAAAGAGGCAAGAATATACAATGGGAAAGAAAGAACAGTCTCTTCAATAAATGATTTGGGGAAACTGGACAGCCACATGCATACAGAAGGCCAACAGGCACATGAGAAGATGTTCAAAATCATTAATCATCAAGTAAATATAAGTCAAACTACAAGGAGGTATCACTTCACTCCTAAGAATGGTGTTATCAAAATGACATAAGTGTTGGTGACGATGTGGTGAAAAAGTCACTTTGTGCACCATTAGTGAGAATGTAAATTGGTGTGGCTACTCTGGGAAACAGTATAGAGGGTCCTAAAAAAATTAAAAATAGAACTACCTAAGATCCAGCAATTCCATTTTTGGGTATTTATCCAAGGAAACAAAACACTAATTTTAAAAGATACATGCATCCCTATGTTCATCATAGAACTATTTACAATAGCCAAGATATGGAAACAACCTGTGTTTATTATCAATAGATGACTAGATAAGATGTGGTATATATACAAAGGGGCACTACTCATCCATAAAAAAGGATGAAATCCTGCCATTTGCAACAACATGCAGAGACCTTAAGAGTACGATGCTCAGTGAAATAAGTCAGACAGAGAAAGACAAATACTGTGTGATTTCATTTACATGTGGAATCTGAAAAACAAATGAACAAATAAAACAAAACTTCACAGAAAAAAGAAGAGACTGGTGATTACCAGAGTGGTAGAGTGGAGGGATGTGCAAAATGGGTGAAGGGGATCAAGAAGAACAACTTCAGTTGTAAAACAAGTAAGTCATGGGAATGTAATGTACAGCATGGTGACTATAACAATAATATTGTATTGCAAATTTAAAAGTTGCTAAGAAAGCAAATCTTAAAATTTCTCATCACAAGAAAAATAATTTTTGTAACTTTGGTGACAGAAGATAATTAGACATTGTGGTGATCATTTCACAATGTATATAAATGTCATATCATGATGTACATCTGAAACTAATATAATTTTGTATGTCAATTATATATATATCAACAAAACCATATATACTGTTTCATTTTGTGTGGGTGTGATTGCAATTTTAACATCAAAGTTGCTCTGGAACTTGTGTTTTTCATTAAACGATGTCAGAGAGATACTGCCTAACATACTGTTCATGTCAGAAGCACAGTATAAAACCAGACTTTTTGTTTTGTTGTACTGCCATTCCCCCTTTATTGGACATTAGAGCATAATCATTTTCTTACCTTATAAACAATTCTCCATGAACATCCTTAGGCATGCTTCCTTGAACACATGTACAAGTGTTTCTCTGAGGATAAGGTCAAGTGGTATGACTGCTGAGCTGAAAAGTATGTACATGTAAAATTTCATCAGATTCTGCCAAGTGACCTTTCCAAAATGTCTGTGCCAAATTATCCTTCACTAGTAGTATTTGAGATTATCCACACCTCACCAGAACTTAATAATAGATGCCTTTTTTAGGTAAAGTATTTTTTTCCATTTTATTTTTAATAAATACACATATATCCGGATGTATATGTGCATGCATGTACATAGGTTTTTCATGAAAAACAGTTCTCTGCCCTAAGCTTTCTTATCCCCAGGATCTACTTCCCAGAGGCAGCCACTGGCAACATTTCTAGCTATTTTTTCTGGTATTTTATCTCCATTTTGTGAATAACATGCTTCTGCTGCTATTTGTTAATTTGTCATTTTAGACATTATTCACTGACTTTGGTGGGTGAGTACCTAACTCTCCCATATGTACACCCACCACTTCTCCTCTCCCATCATCCCAACATAATTCTATTATACTTTTTGGATAAATAAATAGTGTTTTTATTATAATGACCATGGAAGTATTACTTGCTGCTGAGTCAGGCATTCCTGAGCTCCATTCTTGGGCAACCCTCCCATATAAATCCTGAAGTTAATAATGGACTCATTTTTTAAATTTTTACTTTATTTTCTATTACTTATTATCAGTGTTCTCTAAAAGATTTAACACTTCTGCCTAAAGCCTTTGCATGATATTTTCCATATGTTTAAGCACATCAGTTACATTTCTTCTTTCTGGAGCCCCTCAAGAGTCCCCCTTCCTCCTGTACTCGAGCTGGCGGGGCTCTGGCCTAATGCTCTGCTCTAGTCCTGTGGCTCATCCTCACACCCTCCAGTATTGGATACCTTATTCCTGTTTGGAGGATCCCGTTTCTCTCTCTTTTTAAAAAAATCTACTCCCTCCTTTTGATGATGCATACTGACTAGCAGTGTCCTGATGAAAGTCACTTGGGAGTGTACTTGGAAAATTCTGTGCTTCAGTGAAAAATTGTGCCTTGTTTAGAGCATACCTTTTGGAGTTGCCTGATTTTGATTCTATGGGTGCTCCATGCCTTTCATTACCTTTGAGCTATTTTACAACTCAGTAAATTATAGATAAGTGACAGCAAGGCAGAGTGATTCTTATATAGAGAGATGCAAATAAATAATCCATGTCCCTCTTCATGGGACATACAAAAAGGCAGTTTTATATCTACCTGTAAATTCATTTCATAATCCCTTTATTCCATATAAATGTTTCTTTGACTTCTTTAAACTGGTTGTAACATCTTGTTGATTCCCTCATCAATAATGAGTTAAGTAAGATATTTAATACATGTTCATGTTTTATGTTTATGAGAGTCATTGTTTAACTTAAAAAAATGTATCCTTTAACATAAGTATATTTTTCAAGTCACTGAAGTCTACAAATATCTTTGTTCTATCTTCACACTTCACTGATAGATTGGGTATAAAATTAGAGGTTAAAAAGTCCAATGTCATTTTGACTTCTGTTTCTTTACATATAACTGGTTTCTAACACCCCCCACCCCCCATCCTATTTTTTTCTTTATCCATGGAGGATAATGTGCCTTGATGAGGATCTTTTTCATTCACTTTGCCATGCAATTCAGTGGACCTTTACATCTACGAAAGTGGCCTTTTAATTAAAAAGCCAAAAGTCATTCCCTGCCCCAGTTACTCACTGCATTGTTAAAATTCATTACCACTTTCTAAACTATCTTTTCTTTTCTTTTTTTATTATGGTATCATTAATATACAGTTACATGAGCAACATTGTGGTTACTAGATACTCCCCATTATCAAATTCCCACCACATACCCTTTTACAGTCACTGTCCATCAGCAGAGTAAGATGCTATAGGGTCACTACTCATCCTCTCTGTGCTATACTGCCTTCCCGGTGCCCCCACACACATTATGTGTGCCAATGGTAATGCCCCTTATTCCCCGTCTCCCTCCCTTCCCCCCCACCTCAAGTCCCTTTCCCTTTGGCAACTGTTAGTCCTCTTGGGTTCTGTGAGTCTGATGTTGTTTTGTTCCTTCAGTTTTTGCTTTGTTCTTATGCTCCACAGATGAGTGAAATCATTTGGTACTTGTCTTTCTCTGCCTGGCTTATTTCACTGAGCATAATACCCTCTAGCTCCATCCATGTTGTTGCAAATGGTAGGATATATTTTCTTCTTATGGCTGAGTAATATTCCATTGTGTATATGTACCACATCTTCTTTATCCATTCATCTACTGCTGGACACTTAGGTTGCTTCTATTTCTTGGCTATTGTAAATAGTGCTGTGATAAACATAGGGGTGCATATGTCTTTTTCAAACTGGGCTCCTGCATTCTTAGGGTAAATTCCCAGGAGTGGAATTCCTGGGTCAAATGGTATTTGTACTTTGAGCTTTTTGAGGAACCTCCACACTGCTTTCCACAATGGTTGAACTAGTTTACATTCCCACCAGCAGTGTAGGAGGGGTTCCCCTTTCTCCACATCCTCACCAGCATTTGTTGTTCCTATTCTTTTCCATGTTGGCCATAAGCTATCTTTTCTAAGACAACAAAGTCATGAGTTGTTTTGCAGGACTCTTGGAGCCAACTTCACTCAGAGAAGACCCTCACCTGAGCCTACGCAGAAATAGTTCCAGATGACCTCAAGTTACCTTTTTCTCATTACCTTACTAAAATTTCCACAGCTCGGCTGTTTAGCTACCATTTTTGAACATTCAGCATATGTAGTAACATGTTAACATGCTACAGAGGTGCAGGAAAAAAGTTCTGCCCCCAACTGTTAATTTTACCAGCCCCTGCTGAATATGCATAAACCTTCTGTATAAATTCTGTACTCCATCTGAGCTCAAGGAGACAAATTTGATCCTTGCCGCCTGTCTTCTTGCTGGGCCTCCTTGCAATAAAACTTTCTGCAAAAGGCCAGCGCCTCAGTGATTGGTTTTACAATGTGCACAGGCAAATGGGCCCAACTTGGTTCAGTAACATCTAGAAATACCTGTTCTCAGGTCTGGAGATATTTTTATATTATTTCTTTGATGATTTTTCTCCTCTTAATTGCCTCTTGTCTCTCTTCCTGGAATTCCTTATATTTGGATGTTGAATGCCTAGATTGATTTTCTCTTTCTCTCATCTTACCCCTCCCATTATTGTCATTTTCCTATTTCTTAATGAGGTTAAGCAGCTTTCCATATGCAACTGACCACTTAGCTTCTCAATTATTCTTTTTCTATTAAACAGAATTGTGGTTTAAAATAATTGAATATAAACCAACAACTTGTCAAAGGATGCCAACTGAATATAAACCAAAGGATGCCAACTTTGAGCAAGATTTATATCACCTAGGTAAAACTGGTGCTTTGTCTAGCTAGCCACAGAATTTCCAACATTTTATACACACTCTGTTATATAATCATTGCTAAATATATCTTTTGTTGACTAAATCGTCAACTCATAGATTACCACTAAAGCTTAATCTAGGTCTTTCTCCAGAGTTAAAGAGTAAATGATCTCTAAATGTTTATTCTAGAAAAATAAAAAGTAATGCTTATTCAGTATTTACTATTTGTCCTATTCTAAGCTCTTTAGGTCTGGTAATTTAATCTTTATAACAATCCAATGAGATAGGTACTATTATCTGCATCTCACAGATAAGGAAATTTATCTGAAAGCTTAAGTGGCTGAACCAAGATTTGACTCCAAAGACCACATTTTAAACCACCAGACTAGGAGCCTCTTTAGTTGGCTCAGCTCACATGCCAATCCTAATCTATTTATAGTCGCTGTCAGGCACACATTGTTGAGAAGAATTCTGGAGCATCATTCAGGTTCTGGGGAAAAATTTGCCTTGATTGATTAATGATGTCTGCCACAGGCCCAGGAATGGGGAGTTGAGTTTACTTTTTTTTTTTTTTAACTTTTCTTTTATCATTCCTTGGAGAAAGATTATCTTTGGGGTTATACATAGCTCTAGTGCTTTCGAAATTAGGGCATGCTGACATCCAAAGTGTTTAAAGGCTGCTTCGTTTCTTTGCTGTAGCAGAGAATCCTGTAACAGCCTGTTTGTAATTTATCTGAGAGAAGCATTGGTAATTAGGCAACTGAGCACTTTTCTGATTCCCTCGCCTCTTCCTTTTCCTGTGGCAAAAACAGAAAGTCAGGAAAATAATCACATTGCATCACCATACCAGTGGGCCATATAAAAGGCCCTGTGATGTTATTTTTCCGACCATTGGTTTCCTGGGCAGCCAGCATTCAAACCATTCTAAATACCCCTCCCATCAGATTGTTAAAAATGACGGTAAGATTGGCCTCCTTACATTCTACATCCCAGTTTTACAACTTGGCTGCAGCTGCAGGGAAGCCCAGCTTTTAAAGGAATTATATCCTTTTGCCAGAATATCCATTGAACATAATTTAACACAGTGTTAAGAAAAGTTTTAAGTGATTTTCTTCCATTTCTATCCACTTTTCAAAGTCCATTTTGATCTTACATCAGCCCAGCACCTATTTGTTTAGGATAGTTGTTCTATAAGGTATATAATATTCATTTTCACATCCTTAAAAACATATATTTTTTCAGCTATAATAAAATACACTTACTGAGAATTTCTAGGATGGCTGTTTTCTCCTCTAACTGCAAGGCGGGGAACCAAGTAGAGAAAAAAAAATCACTGAGAAATCACATGGTCCTGATAGTTCTGGCTGAGAAAAGGGATGAGAGAATTTGCTCCAGAGGTCAGGTCAGTTTTCTTGAGGCCAACCGGGATTCGAAGGCGGCCTGTCCAGGGGAAGCCCCATGACACGGGGCTGGGGGGAGGGGGGCTGTTCTCTCCTACCACTGGCTCCTCTGTCTAGATCAGTTTCTTGAGGGAGCTCTTTCTGGCCCTTCATGAGGCCTTCCCCCTGCAAGCTCCACAGGGCCATCCCCAGAGAGCCAGGTATGGCCCAGGATTGTAATGAGCACTTGGAAGATGGCAAGGCTGCTCAGACCTTGCCCACTTTGAG